TATTGAAATGGGCAGATTAATCACTGGCAGCAAAAATCCTACAGTGCTGTACGTTAGTGGTGGAAATACTCAGGTTAGTTTACAAATGAATAGCAGAGAGAAATTAATAAAGTGAAAGTCAAGCATAAAATGTCATAGAAATACAAGTTTTTTTATACCTATATCTTAGTATCACATTTCATATTTATCTAATATAAAATTAGTTACCAGTTCATTTCAGTGGTTATGTGAACCACCCCCCATGACATTGTGGAGTTCAATAATCTGCTCCCACATAGTTATCCCCCAAGCCAGGGGATTGTGTAGGCAGGGGTGTGCCAAACCTTTCTGATGCCCGTGGCAAGTTCCTGATAATGTTTCCCCATATACCGAATTGCAAAAGTATTTTGGGGATAAACAATTATACTGTTGTTATACGCGAGAATAGGTAAATTAAAGGTCTTGTAATATTTTAATCAGGGGTGTGCAACCTGCGGGCCAAATGGGACCAACAAGGAAAATTTGAGTGGCCGATTTTAAATGATGTGTGGCCCGTGAAACAATCTCTTTGTGTTGCAAAGCCTATCCCTGAGTTCCATTTATTATCTGCACTTATGACGTTGAATGACCCAACAGCTAGCTTGTGCGAAACAAATAATGCATATCAGAAACCTGCAACTACAAGAAAGCCCATGTTAAATATAGGTGCGACCCGTGGTTTCACTCAGGTATTTGCATCCGGCACTCCTGTATTGAAGGTTGCAGACCCCTGGATGTAGGAAAATTGGATGACAAGCGGGCATTCAATAAACTATCACTAAATAAGTTTCTGTTTATTGTTATTCAGGTAATTGCTTATTCAGATAGAAGGTACAGAATATTTGGAGAAACTATTGATATTGCAGTTGGGAATTGTTTGGATAGATTTGCAAGAATATTAAAAATTTCTAATGATCCAAGTCCTGGTTATAATATTGAACAACTTGCAAAGAAAGGATCAAAATACATTGCTTTACCATACACTGTAAAAGGAATGGATATATCTTTCTCAGGTACTTTTTTATTCAAATGACACTAATTATAAAATGAAATAAAATTTTGATATAAAATTGAACATCTTCTATTGCTTCCCAATTCAGGAATTTTATCACACATAGAAGAGATTGCAAAAAAGCAGTTGAAAAGTGGTGAATGTAACCCTGCAGATCTATGTTATTCACTTCAAGAAACCATATTTGCAATGCTTGTCGAAATAACAGAGAGAGCCATGGCTCACTGTGAATCACAAGAAGTTTTGATAGTCGGTGGTGTGGGATGTAACTTAAGATTACAGGTATGTGACCCAGAACGCCAAAAAGTTGAACACAGCCAAATTAGGTTTGGAAAGACTGGTTCATATGAGTGACCTACACAATTTTTCCATTAGGATGGTAGCGGGAATTAGGATTTACTTCAGATCTCAAAAAAAAACTGTTGAAGTTGAGCCCAATATTTCATCATACAGAATTCTATCTGGTTTTTTTTGGCCTCACAATATTGTTATTATACGATTGTGTAAAGGGCACGGTATTCTAATATTATCAATTTCAAAATTTATGCGGCTCGTATATTTCTGACTTGCTGCTTTTCTACTAAAAAATTTTGCCCACCCCTGGCATAGACTTTACTTTTTACACAGTGCTACATTATTTCAATTTGTAAGGTGTAAAAAATGACATTTTTACTTAGGAAATGATGGGGGTTATGGCTGAGGAAAGAGGAGCTAAATTGTTTGCTACAGACATGAGGTTTTGCATTGATAATGGAGCTATGATCGCCCAAGCTGGGTGGGAAATGTTTCGATCTGATCCAAAGCGACACATCACACCAATAGAAAAGTCAACATGCACTCAAAGGTTTAGAACAGACGAAGTAGAAGTCACTTGGAGAGATGACTGATATTGGAAACTGTAGAAGATGTGTTAGCCCTGTAATGGCAGAATGGAGCTGCATGGTCGGGAGGTCTTGTCGCAGCAGGATGGGCCCTATGGATGTTGGGCAAGACACACTGAGATTGGATAGAACTGAAGGGCTATTCTGAATTACATGAAAAAACGTCAACTTATTTGAAGGCTGGAACAATGGCAAAATAGCATGTTATTCATTTACAATGGGTTCGGTAACCTTTTGTCGTTCACGGGCCACACATATTTTTTTTAGAAGTAAAAAATTGAATGGATGGTCGATTAATCAAAATTTTTTAACACTAATCAAAGGTTGAAATTTTTTCTTACAATTACAATTCTTACAAATTACATTTAATGTGATATTTTTTATTGCATCACGTGACTCACTGAATAAAGCTAAGATTGGAACATTTCCGAAATTTTGTCAAGAAAAGCTCAGCATTTTTTTGGCTACACTTTTATGTAATATAGATAGTCTGTGCCACCCTTTTTCATCATTACTGCTTGATTTAAAAGTTGTACAGCCCACGTTGGTTATAGTCACTTGCTAACCTACTGTTATAAATTGATTTTGAAAGAAATATGAGCGATTAGGGAAGGTAACAAGAGAGAAGTGCACAAAAGGAACTATTGCTTGGGTGATTGGGATGCCATTCCCGGAAATTTTCCGTGTCTTGCAACTGCATTACTCTACAATTCTACATATGCTTGTGAATTTCTGTTCTCAGTTATGAACTCCATTAAGTCTTGTAATAGGAGTAACCTGTAGATGAGACCAGTACCGGTAGTCCGTGTATTCATTTAAAAGTTTGAAAATGTAAACCCAATATAAAATACCTATCAACCGTAATGCAGCAGCAAAGGTCTCACTGATATAGAATAAAAAAAGTAATCAAGTCTGTTTGTCTGACTGATATTTTCCCGAACTGTCTGTACATGTTTAAAAGGTTTATTATTGTGTATGTTTGCTTTGAAAGTAGCAAAGGTAAGTTTTTAATTTTGGTCGGCACACGGAAGAATTTTGTCATTAAATTCATCTGATTTAGGCACGCGAGCCGAAAAAGGTTGCCCACCCCCGTCCTAGTTCCTTCTAATGAGTATTTTCGAAATATGTACTTTTAAACATTGATATGAACTTTTGTGCATGGTTTATCAAATTTGGATAAAGTTTTCCTTCAAGAAGATTCTTTTTATAAAAACCAAGCAGTGATGCATCTCTCGAATAGAATATTTCCTCATTGCATCAAAAAAAAAAATTCCATTGAACCCTTTGCGCATCAATTTTTCTGCATTTTGTCTAATTATAGGCTTAAACTCTATTATATAATGAGTCTACACGTGTCTCACAATAAATTCTGTTACGTAAAGAATGTAATCGTCAGAGCAGCCGTTTTGTTACTATAATTCAGTGAAGCGTCTCTGGCCGGATTTTGATGCATGATTGTTTCGAATAAATCGTGAACGAGATCCTCTTTACATGGTAATTAGTGATGCAGGATGCAGCTGTTATCTCTAATTATTTGACAATTCAATGATTTGCAATAAGGTGTTGCCATTATAGTAGTAGAAGCCTATGGTATGCTGTTTACATTAAATGTAGATTAGGACAGCACACCCCCCGCACTGTCATTTTTGCAAGTATACTTAATGCACTTGCTGGCAGTCTACCTTGGAGAATAGATTTACAACCAGAGATAGTCTGTTATAATAAAATGTTAATTAATATTCCAAATGTAAGGTTGGGATAAACGTTGTTTTGAATGAATGGTTCGCCATACGATAGGTTGAAATAAGACCTACATCAGGCTCAACTATAACTCAAGAGAAGTTAAATATATTGCAATGTTACCATGCATATACTGTTGTGAAAATGTAATGCATAGAACAAATTTGAACAAAATAACAAAACATGTTAATAAATGTAAACAGAACCATCGAAAGGACCAAGATAAGAAGTAGCGATTAGTACAATATCAATTAATGTCCATACTCCCACTCCACCAAAGCTGAACAATTTGCCAATTCCTTCTTTCCAATACCCCAAATAAAATCTATCAGCACCAAATCCACCGAGAGTAATGCTTAATATTAACGCAGTCGACCATTTATAACCAGAAGTCCAATTGCAATAAGTCATTTTTGAAAATTTCCGTTTCCCAAGACAAAAAACATTTTTATGTACAGTGCAATTCATTTTCACCCTTTGTCTTGGGGTCGCTGCGACGTTGCAAGAAGTGTTAGTCTGTTCACATGTATATTCTTCGCCTGGTATTGTTAAATAACAGTATTTGCAAAGAAATTCTCGCATTACAGTTCGGCTTCCAGTACATGGTGAGGTATCAATTACATTGCATGAAAAATTCTTGTACTTTCCATATGTACAATCATTTGTGGTATTACAAACATAACAATAAGCAGATAAATTATTACAAAGCCCAGAGCATTCTGCGTCGCGGAATATTACAGGAGTAGATGTTGTCTTGACTTCCAAAGTTGTTCCTGGCGTTGTTTCAACTTCTCTAGTTGTCTTTGAGATAGTAGTAGCGTTAGATAAGCCTTCTAAATTTTCCCAACTGGTATTCTTACTTGTAAAACTCATTCCGGTAGTTAGAGTAAGTGGGTTGCTTGTGTAAGAATATCCAGATGATGTTATATCCGCCATGTTCTCTTCACAAAAAATGTGTAAGATTATATATAGTAAAATATATTTGCTTCGAAACATTTCAACTGAATTTAATAATTTCTATGAAAGCTGTAAAAGTCAAATTGAATTTGTTTTGAAAACTGAAACCTAAGCTTGAATTAGGCAAGGTCGAAATGGAAAGATGCGGGTATTTCCAAAAACAGAATCGCCTCAGCTCATATGTATGAAGCCTTGTTTTTGATGTTAACTACTGTGTAGTAAAGTACCCTATGATTTGAGTGGGTGGAGGCTGATTCGCATTGACCGGCCGCCGCGCGACAATGATTAATGGGTTAGCCTCTGCAACCTTGCAACTTCTTGTAGTGGGAGATGGAAAAATGGCTGTTTCCTTAAAACTCCAATAGTGAGGATAAATATATTCAATTATATGTGTTTGGTTAGAATACTGAGCACTGGTTAACAAAGTGACCGGACAACGTGCTCATACCAGTACCGGAAGGCATATCGTACGAGAGAAAGATTTATTGATTCGTCAACCAAAACAAATATAAAAGCATAAATACAAATAAATAAACTCTGTCTATGGTAAGACTGGAGGGAGCGATACGACCATACGGTCATCCAAGTCAGCTCCCCCCATATTCACTGTTATGCATAAGATTCACAGGTTTGGATGACTATGTGTGTAACGGCTTATTATAGAGTATTTTACACTTGAATAATTATTAAAAAAATGCACAATTACAAGGGGCTAATGCTTGAAGTTAGTTATCGGGTTTGTTGATCCATGCATATTAAGAAAAATTACTAGGGGTCTAGGTCTACTAGAGAATTAATAATATAGAGAGCAAATTGTGGTAATTATACCCAATGTGCGTATTTGAATAATTATTATGGTACTGTATATGAAAAGGAATATAAATAATTAAAATATTGGATTTACAAAGATAGGATAAACTTTGGTTATGATAAACCATAATAGCACAATGTGAATATAAAGATCCATTTCAATGACTACTGAAAAGAATTTCTCAGTGTACAAAAAGGGGGTTTGTAATCAATATATAAATAACTAATATCATTAATTGACAAAGGATGAAAAATAGAACTTTGAAACCAATCGGGGTCTGTAGAGATCTAAGTTCAAGTGTTTACAGGGGGTGTACTGTGGAACACATGTACCCTTTTAAAAAATTTTCACCAAACAACAAAAATCTCCAAAGGTATATGAATATATCAAATATAAGGTGACCGTACATTTGAACCCATGTGTATATCCACGGGTTCAATCTATATGCGGGTGCTAAAACCCATGGGTTAGGGTTAGTGAACTATCCGAAAAACAAAAAAAATTTCATAGGTGCAATAGCATACAGGTGCAATTGCCATGGGTTCAAATGTAATGGAACCCAAATATAAAGGGAACTTCCAGCAATATTGAATTGTCACATAGTTCGAATACCTATAGCAGGAAGTGAAGCTAAGGTATTTGTGGCAATTTGCCAATATGTAGTGAAATTTTTAAACTCAAACTTCACTTACTATATTGTGAATAGAATACTAGTTTGAGTTTGAAAATTGTCTATTAATTTGAAGTATACAAAGAATTGCGCTTAACTTAATAGAAAAAATGGATAAGTTTCAATATTATACTAATCCAGATTTCTGGAAAAACGATTTCGGAGTATGCAAGTTCAAAGTAGGGTCATACATGAAAGGAGAATTATGTAGCCTATATGTGATCGAATATTACAACATATTATAGAATATCCACATAACTGATTTGGTTGATTACATTTTTGCAATATTAGACCAGCAGAAATACTCAGTTGACAAATTTTAAGCTGTTACATAAATATTCAGCCAAGAATAAACTACATCAAATACAACTAATTTCAAAACAAAGTGCGATCATATATGAAATGAGAGTTATATGTAGGGATGCCATTTTTGAATTTACAAATCAGATTTACGTGATTCGGAAAGAATGTCTCAACCTATTATATTCACCTCATGCATGCCAAATATATCATCATATTACTTCATTGTGTGAGTAAAAAATCAACAGTATGTATTTCTACAATCAAACCTAGTTAGTTACAAAATGCCAAGTTCAATTTCGCTACTGTGGCAGTCTCATCTTATTCCAAGCAGCCGTTGAAGGTAAATGTGAGCTAGAGAGAGAGAGAATCAACTTGCCATGTCTATTTTCTTTATAATAGTTGATCGACATCGCGAGTTCGAGAGGCTCTGTGGGTAATAAATCATGTAGAGGGGAAAGTGGGGAGGGGAGGTACGGGCCACTAAATATTCACTCTTTCACCCACTGAATGTTTGACAAAACAACTATTCCCAGCATTGTTTTGGAGTTTTTAGAAGTAGTTTTTTCACAAAAATGTAATTTACACAAAAAAAATTTATCATGTGAGATATGGGCCACCAACAAAAAACTTGAACCCAATGCTTAATACAATTTTACTGAATTCCAAACCCCATGAATTGTTTCTACAATCAATGAAGCTGTTTTGGGTCTCGTGTAGTTTTGTACCTAACGTACTTCTAGTAGGCGTAGCATAAAAAAATCCTAACCTTCACCTGACTACGCCATCCAAAAATTACGTCACTACCACTACACAATCACGTCATAGAGCTTGCTAAATACTCGTACGATCGCCCGAAATGGCATCGGCTCCGACGATAAAGAACTGACTAACGTCAGCGATCTCTCTCCTATCGGGATCGTTGTGACGAGAAAACGAGAGAAATTGCTGTTCGATTTCGGGTTCTCGTCTGCGCGTCTTGGATGACAGTTCGCATAATTTGAAGGGCTCTATTATGTCACTGTGACGTCGTAGTGACGTAACTCTTGAATGGTGTGGTCGGGTGGGGGTTAGGATTAACACGTAAAAAAATTGTTATGCTACGCTTACTAGAAGTACGTTCTGACGTTAGGTACGAAACTACATGAGACCCGAGAGGGCCTACTCGCCATGTCTATTTTCTCTATACAGTACTTGTTGATTGACATCGCGAGTTCGAGAGAGAGAGAGAGAGAGAGGGCTAACTCGCCATGTCTATTTTCTCGGTATGTTAGTCGTTGCATGAGCATTACCAGAATAACATGGCCAACACCGTGATAGTTTACCGAGGTTTCGATTAATTGAATGGGTATCTTTTCCCGCATCATAGTTTATATTGTGATTTTCATTGTGTATAATAAATGTGTTATTGTGCGTATATTTTTAGAGGAGCATTCTCTTCCCACCTGGAACTCCCAAATTTCCCACTAGTGAGAACTTTCCCACCGGTTGGGAACCACTATCTGAACTAGTGAAGTGAGTTGCCAATTAGCTGCCTTGGTTAAAAAAAAAGTGATGTAATATAGGCCGCGAGCCGAGGCCATTTATCTTTCAGTTTCGTAGCGCACATAAGGTAACTACCTGAAAATGATTTTAAAATGTTCCTTAGAAATTTAGTAACAAATATTGCCTTGTTCCCACTTCCAAAAGTTGCACGTTTTACAGAAAAGACGCTTTTACTACAATAAAATGTGTTACCATCTGTCCTATTTTCTCTGCTTTTCCGGTATCATGGGCCAATGAACGCAGACTTTTGCATGACGTAACAAACAAATTAGTCAGCTGTAGGTGGATCCCCCGTGGTCGGATGAATATCTGATGTACTACTGCTCGCTTTTGCGTTCAGTACGGTAGCCTTTCCATAGTTTTTTTCAATTATTATTAGTTCAGTTATTCTAAGGAGGTGTTGAAAAGTATAAGTAAGATATTAAACACTTGTATATCTTTACCATAAATAGCAATTTTAGTTGATCACTAGCTCATAAGACGTTGTTAAATAGGTACGGTGCGGTAACTCCAAGGAAGGCTAAACCTAGAATAATATGTCACAAACAACAATATTTTTTGGCTTGCATGAAATGTTTATGATTAATTTAATGACTATTCAGCAGACTTGTACTACTATATAGGCCACGGCATATTTGGAATAAGAAATTAATGAATGTTTCTGTAATGCACGGTTGTGTGGAAGAGAAGAAAATAATCAATTTTACTAATGTCGGTTGGTCTAAATCTACATTCATAGAGTCGACAAGAACCTGGGAAGCAATGATAAGTTATGCCGGAGTGGAAAGAAGTAGCACTGGAAACGATTGAGAGGTGAGAAATCAAGTTGTAGACAGACAGTTGATGTTGTAAAATATAGTCTATAGTCCATACTCATACTGTCATAGGGCATTTCAGACTGTGATATATCAAAATTTAGTGTAGATATAGTCTAGTACTGGTATGCAAACACTACTGGACTGTAGTACATGCAATGAGCATATATACGGTCATTGGGTACATCAGATAAAATGCATTATGTATTAAAGGTATTAGTTAGTATTTAGTGGTATTTCTACACTCATGCTGTTCCAAATATGATTTTCTTCCTCATTTCAGATACTGTACTACAAAAGAAAACGACAATGTTCCACCAATCCGACCTAACAACGCAGGCTCTAATCCCTGCTGCTATCAGTGCTATAAAATGGATTAAACAAGAAGTCTTGAAGCGTAAAGGTATATGAGAATCACAATAGTTGCAAACAGCTTAGATGGGCTATTCATATTGAAATACTTTAGCACTTTTTTGCAATTGTACTGCACATCAAACTCATGTTGGAGACTTCATTGAGGTTTTCAATTCATTTTTTCTCAACTATGAAGATCTTTTGAGGTTAACGAGGCATTAATAAATAAAGCTGAGGAATTTGTTTGTGTATGAAGAGTATGTATGAAGTACTGTATGAAAAGGATATGAAGAATGTAAATGATACCAGGGCACGTCTATTTAACACTGGCAAACATAAGGATTATACTCTGCCACCCAACAATGATTCACTGAAGAAGCATGTGGCCCTCAAATCAGTTCTTGAGTTGGCAAACTGCAAGTGTAAGAAAAATGGTCAAAATAATTTATGCAAGTGTGCCAAAATCAACTTAAATTGCACAGATTTTTGTTTTTGTATTGACTGCAAAAATCACAGTACACTTATAGAGGAAAAGTCAATTTTCGAGATAGTGGATTTCGAAAACAATTCAGAAGAAAGTGAATTAGACATTGCAGTCGATTTAATAAGTATCATTTATCTGTTTGTTTTTTTCGGACATTTGTTAGTGTCGTAGTCCTGTTTCTAGAAATAATATTGCCTTTGTTCAAATACATAACCACATAAACTAAAAAAAGACTAATTGTAATATTTCTGTTCACTATGTTATGTACATATTGTACATTCATTTAATTTTCTTGACTTTTCCGGTAAATTTCTAAGTGAGAAATAACTGATTTATTTGTGTTTTCGTTCTCACGATGTTAATTTGTGACTTCATTGCTTAAAAGTAAATACGTTCGATAGCTTCTATAAAATGGATGTAGCTTTTTATGCTGTTCTTGTTGTAAACTGCTTGTGGTTATTACATAAAATTTATTCGCTAATGTGAATCAGCGTTGTTGGTGTCGCTGCTTGAAGACCTTTCGAGGTCACTCGCGACTCCTGTCACATAATTAAAGTATTTTTTGTTGTTGGTTACACATGTATGCCATATTTTTCGTAATCTACCTAATAAATTATGATTGACTGAGGTAGTCTGATTTCGGTCAGGCAAAACATTACAGGAATACATTTGTGTTAGTGTGCTGTAGGGCTTTCGAATTGCATAGTTCTTATGTATGTGTTGTAAACTTATGGTTATTGAATTTCCGGGAACCTCTTATATTCAATTTCGCATCAGGATTGTGGAACAAGCTGTAATGCGTTCACATTTTCACACAAAACTGAAGAACTTATTTAGTTACCAGATGTGCGCTACGAAACTCATTTTCTGGGCGTTTCCAAGGATAGGATAGGATTAACATATTTATCTCGGGGGGGTGGAAAGCCGATAAGACGGCTTATCCATATGGCGAACCACGGCCGCTCGTCCGGTTACCATTCCAAGTCGGGTATGGGATTAGTTATATTGTTTGTTTTAGGAAGCATGGACTTGGTGGTGGAGGAAGCCGTAACCGACCAGCGGTTACGTGAAC